CCCCGGGAGAGGACACTACATCTCACCTGGACGGGGAGGAAGCTGAGAACAGACGACGACGCCTGCCCAGGATCACATGACCACTGGGGGTGGGGGTGGGGTGGCCTCACCGCACGTCTTCACCAAGTGTGGTCACCGCACCAGCAGCACCCGGAGACGTGCTGGACCTCAGCGTCTCGGGCCCTCCTCGGACCTGCCGAGTCTGAGGCTGGGGTGGGCCGGCCCTCTGCTTCCATCACGCCCTCCGGGCGACACTTGTCACTCGCTGGAGCTGGAGGGCCGGTGGCTTGGCGCTTGCGGCTCAGACGGCCGGTCACCTTGGACGTCAGACTCTCGGGCCCTACTCTAGGCGACTGAGTCAGAATCTGCATTTTGAACAAGATCCCCACGTAATTTGTGGAAACATTGAAGCTGGAGACGGACTGGAGGCCACTGGTTCTCATATTGGAACCACCGGAGGCATTTCCAGGTCTGGTTTTCTTTCCTTGTTGAGAGAGAGAATCCCAAGGAGGCCCCGACTCCAGGTTCCATCTCACGGCCGTGACGTCATGACTCGAGCCAGAGTCAAGAGTTGGACGCTGAACCGACTGAGCCACCAGGTGCCCCCGGTTCTGACTTCCGTGGCTGCAGCCTGGGTCGGAATCACAGAATTCAGGCTCAGATGTGCAGTCAAGGGGACAGCCACCGGGGTCAGTAGCAAGAGACCATTGGTTATCACGCTGAACAAGAAGTCTGGACGCGGCTTTGGGCGAGTGCTAGATCACTATTTCTAGAACTCTCTAGGCCAGTAGCTCTTAACAGGAGGTGATGCTGCCTGTCCCCAAGAAGGCATTCGGGGGCGTTTCGATTGTCAGTGTGGAACCAACCGCTGGCCCATAAAGGGAAGAGGTCTGAGCAGGCAGCCGATAGTGTGGCCATATACCCCGTGGCCCCCAGAGTGTCTAGGGCGCCCTCCCCCAGCCCCAGAAAGAGTCCCGGAAAGAATTTAGGGTCTCAAGCTGCACAGAGCCTACTTCGCGTCCCAATGCCTCCACTTGCTAGCTACCTCCCCGAGCCTTGGCGTCTAAATCTGAGAACTGGGGATGAGACTAACTCTGTCTCCCTGGGTTATGGGAACGTCTGTTGTTATTGGGCACAAAAGTCAGGACTCTGTGCCTGTTCGATAGGGGGCACTCAGAAGATGGGAGCATTTGTCCTCAGTTCCTTTCAGTTTTGCTTGGGAGTTTTTCGAGTTCTTCTCTGCCTTCTGCTTTCTCCAGACGGACTGTCGGTTTTGGGGGACGGATTTTCTGTCTCGTCCGTGGCTGCAGCCCTAATGCAGTTCCGGCAACAGCTAACGTTTGCTGAGCGCTTACTGTATGCCAGGCTCTGTGATGAGGGCTTGTCATCTAATATCTTATTTGCTCTTTACGAGACCCCCGGAAGGTAAGTGCTTTTGTCCTCCATGTTGTGTAAGGGTGGAAACTGAGATCAGAGACGTTAAGTAACCTGCCCAGCGTCACACAGCCCAAGTGGCAGAGCCACCACAATGGAGTGCCAGGCCGACTGCCTCACCCCGTGGCCTCTCACACCCAAGTCTGCGGACTGTGAGAGGGAAGCAGAGAGCGGCAGAGTCAGCCCTGCTTGCTCACCCACCCCTACGTGGAGAGAAGAGGGGAGCAGGTGTACTTGGAATAGGGGAGACGGGTGGAGTCGGCCAGTAGGGGCCACCGTGGGCAGCCCTCCCCTTCCTCCCCCCACCCACCTCCAGTCTCTGCATGTTACTCCCCCTCACCTCCCCCCAGCTGTTCCCGCATCACAGAACTAGCCTGGGGAGGGCTGCAGCCCCCAGCCTGGGGCTCACCACACACCCAGGAGCCCAAGGGTTTGGGAAGTTGTGCTCAGAAGAGAGACATCTGCAAGATACAGGGTGAAGATAGAAAATGCTTAACAAGGGGCGCCTGGGGGGCTCAGTCCTTTCAGCATCCGATCATGATCTTCAGCTCAGATCATGATCTCGCGGTTCCTGAGTTCGAGCCCCCGTGTCGGGCTCCGTGCTGACAGCTCAGAGCCTAGAGCCTGCTTGGGATTCTGTGCCTCCCTCTCTCTCTGCTTCCTCCCCGCCCCCCATCTCAAAAATAAATAAACATTAAAAAAAAGATCAACCAGTCAGCCTCCAGGAGGCAGGGGCTGGGTTCAGAGAGAGGCCTTTGCCTGATTTCACACCTCCCTCTACCACATCCTGTTGTACCCCCCAGCAGGTTACTTAACCCCTCTGTGACTCAGTTTCCTCATGTGTAAGATGGGAATAATGACGCGGCCCAACTCATGGGATAAATGTCAGGATCGTGTGAATTCACACGCGGGAGACACTCAGAACAGGGCTGCCGCACCGTGAGCACTTCTTAAATGTTGCACGTGTCCAGGGAAGGAGAGCAAGTCTGAGGCAAAGCCCCAGGTAGGGGGCAGGCAGACAGAAGCTCGAAGCATGCTTCCTAGCAGGTGCCACGTCGGAGTGGTTGACGGGCTGGCTACCCATGGCAGCACCCGGGGGAAGCCTCTTGCGAAACATACGGCACCGCGCCCCTGGGAGTTTGCATTATCAAGTGCCCCAGCTAAGGGGCCGTGGGGAAGGTACAGAGAGAAAGGAAAGCCAGGGGCCACCTGAAGCATTCCTGTCCCACTGAGTGCATTCTCCCTGGTTCAGCATCACCCATGCACCAGCCCCTGCCATACAGTACCTCCCAGGGGCTGGTACCATGGTGCTGAACAAAGCCGGCTTGGTCCCTGCCCTCACGGAGCAGACGGCATAATGGCTGAAGCAGACGTGGAACACGTAATCACACAGATGCGTTTCGAGTTATACCTGTGCCAAGTGCTGTAAAGAAGTACAGTGTGTTGGCGGAGTATAACATAGAGCTGACCGGGATAAGCCTTCCAGAAGAAAGGACGCTGGAAATGAGTGTGAAGTATTTATGCAAAAAGGGAAGGTGTGGTCCAGGTTCTGAAACGAGGTGTGCAAAGGTCCTGAGACAGGAACAGACTTGATGTTCCAGGGGACAAAGAGGAGGCCACCGGGACGGGAATGGAAGGACGTCAGGGCAGTGGCGAGAGGGGAGATTGGCAATCTCGCAGGCACGTGGACTGTGGAGTCTGAACTTCATCTTAAGGGCCTCGACGACTGACAGGATGATGATCAGGTTTAGAAACACCGTAGGGTGGGCTCTGGAGGTCTGCCGCCTGGCTGCCAAACCTGTCTCCATTATGTCCTCCCTGCAGTGAGCAAGTCCGTCAACCTCACGCAGCCTCAGTTTCTTTACCTGATTTACACAATGTTATATGCCAACTATATCTCCATTAAAAATAAATAAAAAGAGGGTCCCCCTCTAGGGTCACTGTGAAGATGAACGAAATAAATCATGTTAAGAGCCCAGGACCCTACACATAGTAAGCACTCAATAAATGTTAGTCATCTTTATTTCCTTATCCATTTTTTGTCTCCACTAATAACAGTATGAACTCAATCATCTGCATTTTTTGTTCATCTGTGTATGCAGTGCCTATTACAATACTGAGCACACAGAGGGCACTCCTGAAGTCTTGGTTAGATGGATGGATGGATGGATGGATGGACAGAGGGATGGATGGATGGATAGATGGATGGATGGACAGAGGGATGGATGGATGGATGGACAGAGGGAT